GAGGCAAGGCCTTGGGGGGTGTAGTTAAGCCAGGGAGGGGTTCTCCCTCCTTAGGGGTGCGTGGTTGGGTCTGGGGTGGGTTATGTGAGCCAGGTCTCCACTGTCACCCTCGGGGTAGGCTGGGAGTGTTCCCTGTCCATGGAGATGTTGCAGGGCAGAGTGAGGGCAGGGGGGGAGGAAGTCCCTGCCTTGGGGGTGTCAGGACATTCCTGCAGTAGGGAATATCTCATCCCTGAGGCAGCTTTGGGTTTTCCTGCTACACAGGAAGGGAGAGCGGGGTGCCTTTGGCGTGGGAAGAGGGTCCCTGGCTGCTGGAGGGAGGGGGCACTGGTGGGTGTCCCAGTCTAAGACACCTCTGGGGGTAGATAGCCCCAACAGGCCAATGGGTACCCCTGTCCATGAAGGGACAAGGGTGGCCCCAGGGCAGGTGTTACAGTCCCCTTAGGGGTGTGGAGCCCGGTGGTGGACTGAGAGGGTTTATTAGACTCACCTGGGGACTGAGGGGTAGGACTGGTTATAAAGAGTGAGGATTTGGTTCTCCTCCTCCAGCTGGGTGTGAGAGCAGCTCTAGGAACAAGCTCCTGAGACTGGTTATCATGTCAGGATAACAACTTGAAACCCAGGTTAATTTTCCTTCACCCCAAAAAAGTCTCAATATTAAGTGCTGTTTTTTAACACCTCATTTTGCCAGCAATAAAATCCAGTCTGTCCGAGTTTCAGCACAATGCAGAGAGCATCGCGACTGAAGAGGGAGCTCTCCATCTTGACCACAGAGCCACCTCCAGGCATCACCTGCTGGCAAAATGAAGACCAACTAGATGACCTACGAGCACGTATGTACTTCTCTGGCAGGACCTTTCTACAAGTAAGGGCTGCATTAGAGTTTGCTGCTAGGTCTGGATTCTCTGGGTGGTGTGTACTTTATAAGTTGCATGGAAGTGTTGAATTTTAGGAAAACACTTAGGGTTGTTTTGATTTAAACATAGCTTGACCTATGGCTCGGTCGGTCTACGTATGGTTTTGATTGCCATGGGGTGGAACTGGTCACAAACAAGACAACTTTTTTTATTCCTGGATCTGAGCAGTGTTAAGAGTTCTGTAACTGTGGGTGGTGTGTGGAGACTGTTGAACAAATTCAAGTGATTTTGAATGTAATGCTTATGTTTTAATCTTGCTTTTAAAGAAATTTTAGGAGCTGCAGACACACCATATGAGAAAGGAATATTCAACCTGGAAATAGTTGTTCCTGAAAGGTGAGCAATGACATCTAGTTAAGCAGCTGATGTAGTGCTTCCATCAAATATAACTTAACTGATGTAAGATATTTGATATAAGTGCTACCATTTTGGTCTTTCCTTTAGCCTCCCAACAAAGAATGTTGTTGATAAGGCGAGAGGCTTCATTTAAAGAACATAATTACTATTTCCATTGGCTGATACACTTATTTCACATTGGGTATCCTAAGATGTGTGATTAACAACCTAAAAGCACTATGACAAGATCTCTACCTTATCATATTGTCTCAAACTTTCTGGAAAGGAGCTCGTTTATGAGTAGAAAGCTTCCTATTGCGTTTGCTTCTTTGTGGAAAGCTACCCAGGAGAGTGCTAGTCGGACACGGCTGAAAGCATCAAAGGCAGAGCACTGCCTTCCCCAAAAATTTGTGGGGAAGGATGTCACTTAGTAGATGGCCAGGAGGAGGAAATGATGGCATTGCTTGGGTGATGAAGCAACTGTGATACAAATATAAAAATATTTTTTTGTTTCTTAACACTTATCCCTTGCAGGTACCCATTTGAGCCCCCGAAGATTCGCTTTCTGACCCCTATCTATCATCCTAACATTGACTCTGCTGGAAGGATTTGCCTGGATGTTCTTAAATTACCACCAAAGGTAAGATAGCGCTACTTGGGCATGGGTAAGTGAGCCTGAAGAGGATAATGAACTCCTTATCTTTTTCTTGTAAAAGCCTTATTGAATGTCTGTTTGCTACTGACTTATTTACACAGGAGCATGGGAGTAAAGTTTTTGAGTGGCATCTCCTTTGTTCAGAGACTAGAACATGACCTTCTTTGTTCCATATAAGTTTTCAAGGTTTTAAGGACTGGAGTCAAAAGGCATTAGGTGGCCCTGTGAAAATGGGCAACCCCCATTCCGACCCAGCAGAGATGTGCAGGATACAGCCTGTGGTTGTCAGCCAGGCTTCCTTGGAGAGGCCACGGCCTGGGTGTTGAGAATGGATCTGGTGTTTTCCATGGGGGATTAGGTACTGTAAGTCCTGAGGCAGCTTGTGGGCAGGTTGGGTTTAAACGCTCTAAGTCCTGAGGCTTCTCTAGGCAGCCTGTGGGCAGGTTTTGTTCTGCTTAACTGCTTCTCTCACCCCGTTTCCTTGAAGGGAGCATGGAGACCTTCCTTGAACATCTCCACGCTGCTGACCTCCATACAGCTGCTGATGGCAGAGCCCAACCCTGATGACCCTCTCATGGCAGACATAGTACGTGAGCTCCTCTTCCTCTCTTGTGGCCATGGGCACAGACTGGGAAGGAACAGTGTGTTAGATTTAGGCTGTGCTTCCATTTCACTCACTCTGGATTAACACGCTAGCATGTTCTGTGGCTTGATCTGGATCAGGCCTGGGGGCATGACTGCGTTTCCCTGAAGCAGCTGGGGCGTGCAGCACAGGGTGTATGCCAGCAGTAGAAAAGAGATGGTGAAGGTCTTCTCTTCAGGCCTGCCAGTGCAAACAGCAGTGTGCATTCTTCAAGCAAATGAAAGCAAGCAAAATGAATTTTATGCTTCATGCTGCATGCTTGTAGTGGTTTTGGTCTGGTTCTAGGAGTCCTAAAGCCAGACCTTAGTCCCAGCTTCTCAGTGTGATGTTTGTATTAAATCTCTTCGTCTTGCTCGTTACATTTAGTCCTCGGAGTACAAGTACAACAAGCAACTGTTCTTGCTCAATGCCAAAGAGTGGACTGAGAAATATGCAAGCCAGCAGAAAAGGGTAAGAAACATGCTCTGCTTTCTCAGCCGAGCATAGCTCCATCTTTGGGAACAGTCTTTCCTGTCTCGATTTGCCTTTCACAATTACTTTGAGCAGCTGTCTTTGGCAGCATTTTCTTTCCTCCCCTTCTGTGTTTTGGATCATTAGATTTACTCCTTCCAAATAAATGTGTTCATTCACAAATAATTGCAGTGCTCCTCAAGAAGAAGGAAGGACGAGTAAGACTGAAGCCTGATAAAACCCTTCCCCAGGGATCCTGCAGCCCTGTTTCTTTCTCAGCTCTGTTCCTACCAGACTCCATGTTCTGCTGTGGTTGTGCCTTATGCTCAGCTATGCCTGTTCTCCACCTGCTCATCCATTCACTGACTAGTCTTTCTAATCCCCAGTGGAGTGCAACCTTCCTGTCATCACCCTTCTTTTCCTGCCTCCGTTCTGCACCTTGACTTATCTCACAGAGGAGTCACATAAAAATAAATCGCACTTAAGCAGATCAAAACCTGTCCCCAAAAATCAGTTATGTTTAGGCCTTCTCCCTTACCTGGGTGCTTTCCCCCCCTGCACCCGATTCAGACAGCGTGCTTTCCAAGAGGGGGATGTCTCCGCCTGGAAGCCCCATGAGTGGTGCTCACTACTCCGGCACCGGATGCATTTGCAAGTTAATTGTGTGGGTTGTTAAAAGCGCTCAGGGTGAAGAGATCTTTACAGCAACACACTTAGCACCAGAGAGACCTGCCTCATATGTGTATGTGGCACTTCTAGGCTCAATTGTTATCCTGCTCTCCTGTCATTCCCCCTTCCTAAAATTTCTAGCAGTGGGAGCAGGATAATTAAGGGTCACTGTGTAAAAGCTGGAAGCACGGTCAGTTCTGATCTTCGTGGGAGTGCAGAGTGTTCCAAGGTGTACGCACACAGAGCTGGGAATGCACAGCGGTGCTCAGGGCTGTAAAACTCAACTATTCACAGCCATTGCTTTTATTTCTTGTCTTACCACAGGCTTCCAAGCCTTTGGAAGAGAAAATAAACCAAAGTGAAACAAGTACCACCAATGACTCGACCGCACAGAAAAGAAAAGGGAGTAGTATCAGCAAGAAGGAGAAGAGATCTTGCCTGGATTCCTAAGTGGTTTTTGTTGTAGCCATCACCTTTGCTTTCACTGTCCTTTTCTCTTTACATAGTAGGTATACCTAAATATTTTAACCAATATGTAGCTGTAGCAGGCTTTGTTTTTCTATTTCCTTGGGGGGGAGGTGAAAAGTTCCATTATATAAGTAAAATGTAAAGCTTTAATTTATATATATTTTTCTGTTTTGTTATGTGGAGTTTTTGGAATATTCTGGAAAAAAGGAAAATCGGAAATAGTGGTTCAGCTTCTGCTTTCCAGCTTTCTCTGAGGAGTGGGAACAGCACTAAGTGTTTCGGCTTCTATGTTACTGTCCCTGCTTCAGAACAAACTGAGAGCAGAAGCTGAGCGACAGACACATTAGAGCTAGCTTGTGGAAATCCTTCTCTAGTAAAGGCTTCCTTTTCCTTGTAATATCAAGGCTGCTAAAGAATAAGTCCGTCATTAAGACTCCTAAGACTCAAAACTCTGGCTCTCTAGAGCAGCCTGTTTGATTCCAGTTGCCACTTGGACCATTTAACGTGCCCTGGGCTGGGTCTTGACTCTGTTGTGCCTCCAGGAGGTGGCCAGTGAAAAGCACCAGCTGAGAGGAATGCAGAAGAGCCTGGAGGGTGCCTGGAGGTCTGGGAGCAGGACGGGTGTGGAAGAGAGCGGGGGCCGGGGAGGTGAGGTGCAGGGCAAGAAGCTCAAGAGGATGAGGAGGAAGAAGGACAGTTTTTGGTGGTGCAACAGAGCAGAAGGTGCATGGGGGGCAGGACACCCTGTCACCAGAGCTGTTTAATTATGTGAAGACCGATGGCAGATCGCAGTGGGAGTGACTTTGATGCTCAGCCTCCTGCTCTGCGTGGTTGCCTGCAAGGAATTTAGCCTGTGTCCTGTCCCCGCTCTGAGAAAAGTGAGCCAGGCCAATCCTTACATGTGTGCTGGAGCAGAGACAGGACACGGCAAGGCTCCTGCCTGCCTGGGGAAGTAATCAGAGCACTGAACTAGAGAGCTATGCTCTCACATGCAAGGAAATGGAGTGTCCTTGCCTGCTGCTGTTTCCAAAGTCCTGGCTTGTCTCTGCCACACTTCGTCCTGCTCAGTCAAAGTTGTAATAAAGGCAAAAAGCAAAGAACATGGCAAAGATCTGAAATGACAGGAGTGGGGGGAGCAGGTTAGTCCCCTGCTGCAGGGCTGCGCTCACACCTTGCTGTGGGTGCTTGCTAAAATCTAAGAGCCTGAAGACTAAAGAACTGCTGTCCTCTGCTCCTGGTTTAATTGGGCGACGGCTGTGCCCCCTTGAGGGGCCACATGCCAGCTGTCCTGACCATGTGGGAGGAGGCCCCTGTCAGCTTTCTGGGGTCTGCAGAGAGCTTGCTGAGCAACACCTCTCATCCCCCCCCATCCAGGGCCTGTGGGAGCAAAATACCCCCACACACCCAGTCCTTTAACCTTGCTCATCTGCAGTGGGAGGTTGGCTTTATACCCTGAGACAAGACCCACTGTATGTGTACCTGCTTTCTGGGTGTGATTGTGACAGCTAGAGGCTTGGGAGGGTCCAGCCTGAGCCCATTTTTTGGTCACTTCACCCACAGAGCACCCTCCCGGCAAAAAGAGAGCCTGTGAGAGGTGTCCCGCTGCCTGCCCTGTCCCCTCCAGCCCCACTCAGTACCTCAATGCCCAGCACGGCCAAGCTGCAAGTCCCAGGTACAGAGATGTACTTCTGCAGGGTCCTGCCGAAGGTGGAGAAGCAGCCCTGGGAGCAGAGGGATGATGGAGGAGATCCCTTGTACTCCCCATGGCTGCAGAGAGCTCAGAGGGCTCGGGGGGAGGGCACCGTGGTGGGGCTGGATGAGCTGGGGACTTGGGGAGTCATTGGGCTGCAGAACCACGGGCGGGCAGTGTCCCAGGCTCCTGTCCCCAATGCTCAGGGGCAGAGGGTGCTGCTGCCACGAGCCTGGGAAGCGCTGGGGAAGCCAGGGACAGGACAGGGACCCGGCAGGGTCGAGTCCTACCTGCTCATGGATGTAGCCGGGGCTCCTCTCCCGGCACTGCTCCCAGCCCAGCAGCTCCCCCGCCTGCAGGAGTCCATCCCGGGCGCAGCATGCCTGCGGCCAGGGCGCCCCTGGGTGCAGCTCCTGGAAGAGGGAGCCATTCCCAAAGTCTTCAGGTCCTAAAACGCCACAACAAGAGAACTGAAACAGAAGGGAAATGCCATCAACACAGTGTCAAAATGGGGGGGACATCGCGTAGGGAGGTGATGGAGGGAGGGGGAACAGCTCAGCATGCAGCTCGGTGTCTGTCTGGGGTGCACGAGCCCCTCGCCTGTGTTCACAGTCACAGTCAGCAGGTCCTGTGGATGCTCCACCCCCCCCCCCACAGCCCACCAGGAGCCTCCCAGCTGCTCACCGTGACCATGAGCGTGTTCCAGGCAGTGGAGAAGACCTCAGGACCCTCATCCCCACGGTAGTTACTCCGCAGCTCGGACAGGAAGAGCTCCGGCTGGATCTGCGGGATGGGTGCCGTCTGTGAGCACTGGGGGACCGGTACCAGGAACAGGGTTGTGGGGGCTGTGCATCCACCCTAACTCCCCCGCCCAGCGCCTTGCTGGCCAGGGCACCCTCTCTCTTTGAGGGGACATGGGGACGCACTCATGGGACCCACCCACATGGTTTTGGGCTTGCATTGGGGTGCTGGTGATGAAGGTGAGGGTGAGAAAGGACGTCCCTGCACCAGTCCCAGTCCTCTGGGGGACTCAGAGCCATGACCCATGGCATGACAGACGGAGGAGAGGGGCTGGCCATGCCGGGCATGGCATCAGGGCATGGGGATGGTACCTGTTTCCAGTGCACCAGGAAAAGAACACCCGCAACGAGCTGCGTGATGAAGACAAGGCTCACGAGGATGAAGAACTGAAAGGCAGTGGGATGGAGGAGTCAGAGACCAGCCCGACCCTGTGGGCAGCTTGCTCCACCTATTCCTCCTCTCCTCTGGGGCCAGCCCTGCCCATGCCCTGCGCCCCTGAGACCAGGGGACACAGGGGACGAGTGCGCAGCTCCTGGGGACAGATGCCACATCTCCGAGCACCATGGCTGCAAGGCAGAGGGTTAAAAACAAGCACCGGCTGCCAGGGTCTGGGGATGCCAAAGAAATTGTGTTGTCATGCTCAGAATGGGCTTCGCCATTGAGGGGGGTGGGGGGCTTGTAAATGCCATTCAGGACAAGCCAGCAGCCTCAGAGAGAAGTGCCCCTGCTCGGTGGCTTTATAAAATCCTCTGGGCTCTAAATTGAAAGAGTCACAAAGTGGGGACTGGGTTGGGGGGGTTGTTGAGAGCTGACAGGGACAGGATGGGGAACACCAGGCTTCTGGCTCCGCCGAGGACACCCTGCATCCCCCAACACCCTCCATCCCCTGGCTCCTTGCATCCTGCGAGCTCCTGCACCCCGCAGCCCCCTGCCCGCCCAGTTTCCCACATCCCGTAGCTGCTTTCCCACCCATCTCCCCCCACTCACCACCAGCAGCAGCAGACGGCTCCGGCGCAGGGCCCCGCAGCACCCCAGGAAGCCCAGCAGCGAGAGGGCGATGCCCACGGCCAGCAGCAGGTAGGCACCCACGCTCAGCACAGGCTTGGCAGCCACGATGTCCTGGAAACCAGCCGGGTCCACGGCCACCCAGACCCCCACGCCCGCCAGGCACGTCCCCCCAGCCTGTGGGACACATCGCAGTTATGGGTGCAGGGACCATCCCCAGCCACCCCATGGGGACAGGAGATGCTCTAACCTCTGCTGGGGTCCCCTCCCTTGGGCTGGTGTCACCCACCCTCTTGGGCCAGCCGGAGACATCACGCCCCGGGGACGGGACCCCTCCTCCCCTCCAGCCCACTGGGCCCAGGCGGACTCACAAACACCAGCACGTTGAAGATGAACATCAGGTACTTCATGCAGCTCAAGACACCCATGGGGACACCGGAGCGGGGGACACAGCAGCATTCGTCCCTGCAGAGGGGAGAGCAGAGCCCTGGCCACAGCCAGCCCCGACCTCTCCTGGACCACCCGGTTCCGGCGGGACAGGGGGCTGCCCCCATCCAGCAAGCAGCCCCCCAAAATCCATCTCCCATCCCCCAGCATCTCCTGCTGCACCCCCAAGAAGCCCCAAACCCTGTGTCCCCTCCAAACCCCACCACCACTCACCCTGCGGGTGACCCAGGCACCTCCGACCTGCCCCGGCACCGGCAGTGCCTATTTAACGCTGGGAAGGTTGGAGGATCCCCCTCATCCCTTTCCCGGTTGAGCAGCCCCCAAGAAATCCCTTCCAGCAGCAGGGGCATGAATGATTGATGGGGAACAGGATCCGCCATTGTGCAGGGCGGCGGCGGAGGGCAGAGGGGAGTCTCCGGCCCCGGCTGTCGTTACTGGAGGTAATTAAACCTCCGGCTAGGGAAAGACGAGCCGGACCCGACAGGCCGAGGGTGACCTCAGCCATCAATTATTGCTGCCAACATTTGCTCTCCGGGGCTGTCAGCAGCTGGGGAAGCCCTCGACGGCCTTCCGTGGGGACCTGCATGCGTGCGGGCAGGGTGGCTGACGGCCACTGGGGACAGAGGGACAGGGACGGATGGACGGATGGATGACTGGGTCCGTCCTCTCTGGCCTGCGTGCCCCTCAGGGCCGCTCTGCCCTGGTCATGGGGCCGCGGCCACTATAATCACGGGTCTAAGGGCGGCGTGGGCCTGGCCCTCGCTCCGCGGGGGTCGGCTCCCCCCTCCCCGCTACGGCCGCGGGGTGCGGAACCCGCCGGCTCTCCCCGGTCCGACCGGGCCCGCCCGCCGCCATCACGGGACTCCCGGAGGTGGCGCTCCCAGCGCTGCGCGGCGCCCCGCCCCTAGGGGGCAGCCGAGCGCCTGGCCAGCGAGACGCGCGGCCGGGCTAGAGCGCCCCCCGCCGGCACGCCAGGTGGGCGATTCGCCCAATCGCAGCGCCCGGCAGCCAGCGGGGCGCGGGGCGGGAGGGAGGGAAGAGAGACAGACAGTGGCTGCGGCCAATCAGAAAGCGAGACCCGCGCGGCGCCCTCCATTCCGTCCCGGGGGTGTCGTCGTCGCCGTGCGGGGCGGGGTTTCGTGACCGGAAGTGGCCCGTTCCCTCAGCGTCGCTTCCGGTGCCGCCGCCGCCGCCGCCCAGCGCGGGATGTAGCGGCCGGTGAGTGCGGGCGGGGCGGGACGGGGGTGTCCGAGCGCTGCCCCCTTCCCCCTTCCCCCGGCGGGTGGCGGCGGC